TTTTATTGAATCCAAAATATATAACATTAGACTTCGAGCGTGGAGCAATAAATGCACTGAAACTTGTATTTCCCAATTCAATTATAAAAGGATGTAATTTTCATTTTAATCAGTGTTTGTTCAAAAAGAACAGTTACAGTTACTGTTCATCTAAAATTAACTTCATAATACCTTTTTGATTATGTTTACGTGATTGCGCTATTCCTAAAAAATGCTGCTTTACCAACAACTGATCTGGCTACATTTCAGGTCTAAAACTTCAGAGTCTGAAGCAGGGAAATGGAACTTTTAGCTGTGCCTTGTTGTAATTTCAACTTCAATGTCTGCCTAATTTTTTTTTAATGGTATTTATTATGATTTTGTGACTATGATGATGTTTTTTTGTTCATGGCATTAATATTTTACAAAATTATAAAAAAACTACACAACGAAGAAAAGCTACAATGCAAAAAGCAACTAAGCAACGGTAAAAAAATTTAGTCTACAATCCAACAAACAATAAAACAATGCTGAACATCTTGACCGACTTTTTATTCTATTAGTCAAAATTAGGTGCGATAGTGATCGTTAACTAAGGAAATAATGTTACAAATGCTTGAACTTAATGACTCTTCTACTTCACGCTAACCATGTTTTAAAAGAAAATTTTTATTACTCGTTGCTGTCATTAGATGTGATCTTCACACTGTTTTTTCTTCAGTGTTTCCAAACACCTCATTTTGACTAGCATCAGCATACGCGTATTCCACAGAAAATGGTTGTTTTGCTGATAGTTCGTCTTGTTCATCTGTCCAGTAGTCAGTTGACGTATCAATCTAAAATAGGAAATCATAACGAAACATTGCAACTGTTAGTCCAAATCAGAAAATTTCCTTGCAGCTGGGTCACTTGCAAGAATAGAAGGACTTTTACCTGTTCATCCTCTTTCTCTTCCATGTCTGGTTCATACCAGTAGTCATCAAAGAGATTGATTTGTGTAGTTAGCTAAAACAGTGAACAAAAGAAAATTCTGAAAGCAGCAGAAAGAAGAGCGTTACTAAATTATTTTTATTGTTTGTGAAGGAGTCGTTATCTGAATCATCGTCAGCTTGACTCTTGATCTGTGAAACAAAAATAAAATAGAATGATGAATGAAAACTGTTCGTAAAAACTCACAACATTGCTGTTGTAGTTTTAGGCAGTTTCTTATAGAAGAAAAGCAAGAACAGTTACAGATCGTAATTATAGGAGAGAAAGTGTTAACCATACTTCTTCATCGGGTTCATCATCACTAAAATGAATTTTGCTTGGTTCTTTGACAGTCACAGCTTTATTACTTATGATCGTAACAAAAGAAATATCCATATAGAAAGAAAGGAGGATCACAAGAACTTACGCCACTTTCCAAAAAACAACTACAACTTCTAGGAACGAAGTTATATATTTGATACTGTTATATATCAGTACCTTGGAACCCGAATCTGAGAAACACCCGCACTGACTGTTATGCGAATTTTGACATAGTGTACACTTGCATAACATCGTACATTTAAAGTGAAGTTTAAAACACTTGCATCTTTTAATTGTACATACCGTTTCACATGCACAAGTCGTCATCTGGTCTGTAATTGGCATCGAAGGCATTCGATTCGATTGCTATGTCCCTATCTTGTAAAACATAACCATTACCAGTCAGTGGCGGATAATCAATATCATTGCAAACAGACTGATACCAAATATTACATTGCAAAGAAACACATTTGCAGTGATGAAACGAATTTCTTGTAGGTAACAATTGTGTAATAATGATTCCGATGACGATGATCTTAAATGTGAAACTGCTTGAATAGTTCTCACTGCGTCGAGTGCTAAAAAAAGAAATTAAACGCTTTCATATCTGATTTTATTTATTTTTTACATTCCACAGGCGAAATAGAATGTATTCGATAAGGATACAATGAAGGGTTTAGTCTCGATCCGTCTCTAATCTCTCACTCAGACTGCTGATATGCTCTTCGATGTTGTTTGACCTTACAAAGTCAATTGGGGACGAATCGAGAGAACACCCAATGAAGATAAGCTTCAAGTTCGTTCTTGGTAGGTATGCACCAGTGCCGGTACCGGTACCAGTAAAAGCGCTCCACAAAAGTTTAACACCTTTTTTGTTTTTTGCAATAACTCAACTTCCTTGATAGATACAGACTCCGTTCTTTCTCCAAAAGAAAGCCTACGT